CCTCGCGACATTCGCATCACGGCTCGTGTGTGTGTCTGTGTGTGCGTGTGAGAGCGGGATGAGGGGCACAGAAGTGTCTAAACGAGAAGTCGCCGCCCACTTTTTCATGAGGCGAGATGTGGTGATTCATTACATCGCGCGAGCACCACTGTCCAGGTGTAATGAATACAGAGCAACCTGATTCCTTGGGGGAATTTTTGCCTGATTCGGGGAGTGACAAAATCCGTCATTATGTGCAAGGCTAACGTAGAGAATTTCACCGAACAAAGCAGTTTCAATTCACAACCATTGACAAAGCACATATGAAGGAATTGGTTTGTAGAATTATGAGCCACATACGAAAGAAAATCATCTTGAAACTAATGTTTAAAATAGTTTTTTTAAACATTTTCTTCAACGTCAGAATTAGAGTATAATGTAACCACTGTTCACATTGTTATTCACTTCGGGTGAGGTGAAATGGGTTAGGGTGGGGCGAAGCACTGCGAGGCGAGGCGGGGTATGGAATAGGGGTAGGACAAAACAGGGCGAGAGAAAGGGTGATAGGGCGAATAGCGGTAAGGCGAAGTAGGGCAGGGCAAAGCGATACAGCGCGAACGGCGTACGTTGAAGCGAAGTGCGGTAGAGAGAAGGCGGCTGCGGGGGAGGCGGCCTGGGCGAACGCGCCGACGCGGCCGGCCGCGCGCTTCCCAGAAAGCGGCGCGTTCTTCGGGGAAGGGCGGGTCTTTCGCGAGTGCTGCGCGTTGCGGTGCGCGGCTGGCGGGTGGCTAAGGCCCACTAGCAGACTCGAAGCCCAACATTTGACAACTGATGGTTGAAGACCAGGGACATACATCACTTCATACCTTCGTTAATCCGGGGCATTATAAGGACTAGATAGGATCGGATTAGCACAATCGATGGATTTCGGGTGAAAAATGTGGTAAGCGAACGTCAAAATTCATATAAAGTAAGGTAGTAAATGGATTCTGGATCTATAGTGACTTCTTGTAAGGTACACAACAGAAGATGTACACAATAGGTGGACCCTAACTTTTGAATAATAACTAACTCGTCCTTGTTCTGCTTCATGTCGTATATCGTTAAGCGGCCAATATTCCTTCCAAACAACATTCTTTGATAAACGTCCTAACTTCGCGCACATTTTTCCAAATGATTCAAAATTCCGAACATTTTAAATTCCAGTTTATTTTCAAGGACCCACAAAACTTACACTAAACAACGTGTTTTTCTATATAAAAGAGCAAAAAATATCCACGTTTTTGGTATCCAGTGTCCACAATACGAGTTTTTTTTTTTTTAAGAAAAATCCCTCCAACCAGGTACCTCCATCCAGCGACGCACCGTCCCAGCCGGGACAACCTGTAAGTTTCAGACTGATCTCCCGACAAATGTAATGCATGTGAGTGTAAGTGTGTGTAACTAGGGATAAGGTTGGGACAAGGAAGAGGAAGGAAAGACCGCGCGCGATGCGTGGCCCGCTTGTAAGAATACTGTTCCGACATTCGCCTGGTGTTGATCGGAGAAAACACCGACCAGAGCAGCCGGTCGCCAGACGTCTCCTCCAGACACTGGGCTGAATTCGACCCAAAGGAGTGCGGCCGTTCGCCTGAAAGCTGCAGAGACAAGGCACACGGCGTCACCCCCGAAACAATCACGAGCCGCAGTTCGAAGAACCGGGTAGCGAGCGCGGTTCTCTGCACTGCCAGCAAGGGCGACAGCGCGCGTCGAAGCGCGGCCCAGCGCGTGGACGCCACCGTAGCCGCTGGATCCTGACCGCGGAGGCACTGTGACGTGGTAACTCCCCTCCCCTCCCCACCCCTAACCACCGTCCCTCCAGGCCCCGCTCGCCCATCCTGCTCCGCACCGCAAAAAAGCTTACGCGCCGCAACATTTCCCGCCGCAGCCTTGCTACGCAACCAACCCACCTTTTTTTCGCAGCCGGCCCATCAAAAATCAGCCGAGCGCCACCGGGAGACGACGCGAGCCGGCGCGCAATTCTCTCGCGGAAATGGCTGGCGGGCGCGCGCCAGGTCGCGGAGTAAGGCGTCTGCGAGGAGCGCGCGAGAGGCTGTCCGGGAGCGGAGACGTAGACAACGGAAGCGCGTAGCGTTGATTGTGGCGTTGGGAATGTCGACGAGACGTGAGCGCGCAGCGTGGCGCCCGGAGCTTGACGCTTGAGCTGCTGCGGGAGCGTGGCGGGGACCGTGACGATGGTAGCGGACCGGAGAGCGACGAGGCCTGCGCGGAGCGGTGAGAGCGCAGCGTGAGCGGAAGAACGTGTGCGGATCGCATGCAGACAGAGAGCGCTGCGCCAGTGAATTGGAGCGTAGGTGGGACCGTGTACGACTGCGAGCCGATGAAGCGCCGAGCGGAAACGCAGCGAAGCGCTGCAGCGACCAGAGTTCTATGACGAAGCGGTGTCGAGGAGCAGACTGCTAACGTGGCTGGCAGCACGCAGGATGCGGCGTGGAGCTGGCCGTTGTCGGTGCGGGAGCGGAGTGGAGCAACGAGAAGAGCGGCGCGGGGCGAGAAAGCACATGGATTGAATGGGTAGTGCAGGGGAAGCGCGAGCCCCATATTCGGGGGGAGGACAGTTCCCGGAGCGGGACCGATCCGGAGTGAGAGATCCCGGATCGAGCATACGGATTCGGACCGGACGGATCGACGGACTGAATCGGTCCGAGCAGCGGAACGAATCGGATCGAGAAGCGGACGGGTCGGTCGGAAGCGAACGGGGCGGGCCAAGAGAGACCAGCACAAAAACTACGTAATAGGTGCAAAAACTGTAAAAACCCCTCAAACCTGGCGCGTTTCTCGCAAAACTCGCCCTCGCCACGCCACGGCGGGCGCGCGGCGCCGGACGGGAGAGCTTCACTGATATTACACCGTCGCGAGCAGCCACTGTATTGTGTGGAGGTTAATGATCGCGAGGAGGCGGGAGAAACGGCTGCGCCCAGTCCTCCGCGAACACCAGCACGCTCTGTAGGAACGCCCTGACCGAGGCCGCAGGCAGGCCCCAGAGGAAGAACATTGCAGATGCCAGACAGGCAGCCAAGCCATTTGCCATCGTCAGCACGCGGCAGGAACGCAATGGGAATGGCGGGGAGGCGAAGCCCTCTCCGCCCTCTTTCTGCACGCCGCTTTCCATCGGACTGGCTGAGTCGGGACAGCCATTGCCCCCTTATCTCTCAACTCCCATGGAGAACTTAGGTTCCGAAGCCGACAGTTAGCGTATGAATGTTACGATGTCGCTTTACACTATGTCTAATACGACCCGCAGATTACTCTAGCGGAACCTGCTGCTTTGATCATTATCTGTTATTTATCCACGTCAGTTCCATCGATAGCAGGCCGAAAATGCGTGAGAGGTAATCCTTTCAAACGAGGCCACGAGCTCGCACAGAGTATCGTATTTCTCACTCTTCCTTGTCCATATCCCATCTCCCCTCACGCAGCCCCTTAAACAATTACAATGTCACTTACACTATCACCACACGTTCTGACGTACCAGTCCGGCGACAGTTTCAGAAGCTTAAATGACATTGGGAACAGTTGCACCGCTATGATGCAGATACCTAAACATTACTTACCTGCAAGTGAAATGTGTAGGTTCGGCCACCCGGATCTCACCATTCAACGCGACGGAAGTACCGCTCACCTCTCTAATTAATACCATTTATATTAACAAAAGATAACTTACCACCAATAGTTCACGTCCCTGAAATATCAATCAATCTAATCTATGTAGGGTGGTTATATTCATCTATATCTCCAGTTGATTACTGCAGACATATCATCATTTTCTCAATTAAGGATCTGTCTCGCCCCCCTTCCAATTTACCTTATTTGTTTGTATAAAGACTACCTCCCAAAAACGTCTTTCTGTTGCTACTATACCCATGACTTTTGTTTCGCAACAGTTTCTGATTGTCGACTTCTTTTTGCCGTTGCACGCTGAGTTTCCCGCAATCCGGAAGACGAGTTTATGTACGATGTACCGAGCGCCCCTTATTCGAGAGCTACGGCGCGAACACGCTACCTCGGCATTAAAAGTTAATATATATTGTTCATTGTTATAAAGTAAATATGTTTACTTGTGAAAATTAAAACAGGATATAAGCTTATCATTTCAGTACAAAATTAAAATTCCAAGGAGCACCAAATGTTGTGCAATGAAAATAATATACAAATTTAAACTGAGAAAATGTGATTCTAATAACTTATATATCCAAATCCACAATTACTGTAAGTTGCCAACTCTGAAAATGACATACTAGCAAATAAATGCGAGAATACTCGTCTTGAATTTTATTTCTGTGCCCGACAATTATACTGTTACACTACCGCGAAAGCTTACGTGCCATCGCCAACAGCAAATGGCATCCATTCCTCACCCCGCCCTCACCACTCGTCCGCCGCCCACTGATCGTCGTCAGCGTTAGACGATCAAAACATGCGCCGCCCCATTCACCCACCACTTTCTCAACACCTCCATCTAACACACACCTCCTTCATAACAACCTCCTCCAACACTACCTCACTCCAACAACACCTCCACTCCAACACCATCCATCCAACACCACCTCCTCAACACCACCTCCTCCCACACACACAAATAACCACACACCAACCAACACAAACAACACCACATCCCCTCCACCACCTCCTCCACACACTACCATCCCCAGAACACACCTCCTCCAACGACCACCTCCTCCAACACCACCTCCTCAACAACCACCTCCTCCAACACCACCTCCTTCAATACCACCTCCTCCAAACCCACCACTCACATCCAACCACCACCTCCTCCAACACCACCTCCTCAACACCACCCTCCAACACCACCCCTCCAACACCCACCTCCTCCCACACCAGCCTCCTCCCACACCACTCCTCCAACACCACTCCTCCACACCACCTCCTCACAACACCACCTCTCCCACCCCCTCCATCCACACCACCTCCTCCACACCACCACCCGATACCTCCCACACGCACCTCCATAACCAAACACCACCTCCTCCAAGGGACCACACCACCCTAAAACCTACCCACACCAACTCCATACCCAACACCAACCTCCTCCCACACACCAAAAATACCAATAACCAAAAAATAATAACCAGCCAACCCTACCTCCACGCCAACATCCTGCTACCCAACACCACCTCCGCCAAACACCACCTCCCAACATACCATCGATCCAACATCACCTCCGCCAAAACAACCACCAATCGTCCAACACCCAACCTCCCCCACACCACACACCCAAACACACCCTCACTCCAAAAACAACCACATCCATCCAAAACACACAACATCCAACACCATTTCCTCCAACACCACCTCCTCAACCACCACCTACCTCAACACCACCACCTCCTCCAACCCGCTTCCAAACAGCCATACGATCTCCAAAGAGAGAGAACAGCACTCCTCCGAACGCCTCCGCCCACCAACCCAGCAGGCAGAGACACATGCCGCTCGGGTGCTGTGGCCCGCACGCGCGCGACGCCCTGCGGTTCATTTCGATAACGGCACCTAAGCGCGGCGGCGACGCGAGGCGAGGCGCCGCCACAGAAGCAAGAATTATTATTATAACGAGAAGAAATATAACACATGGAGCCATATTCAAAGCGCTGCTGAGACCAACCGCCGCGCGGCGACGGCCGCCACCGCCGCCTACCGACAGCTAATTGGAATTATGCATAATACCCACGATCTACTTTTGAAAACAAAACAACCCGTACTTTAATTGTCTGAATCGACCCGCAGCATCGTCATTTTAGAAATCAGCGGAAATAAAGGCAGCGCAACGGGGGAAGGGCGGGCCCAGCGGGAGCCAAAGATGACTCACTTAATTCTGTCGCTCACCCACTCACTAAATCTCAACGGAGCGCTAAGCGATCAGTAATTCAGATGAAGGCCACGCCGCCCTTCGCGCCGTCGCCCCGCCCGCGCCGCCGCCGGCCGCCGCGCCCCGCGCCCATCCGCCCCGACGCCGAGTGGCGGGCGAGAACTGCAGCACGCCCGTCCCGACTCGCCCGCCCATCGCCCCCGTCGCAGGCACGTGCGGCGCGGACGGCCGAAGCCAACGTCGCGGGCCACGAGCCAGTGCACCACCGCACGCCCGTCCCGCCTGCCGCCTCTTGCTGATTAACCAGCCATGTCGTACCGCCGCAGCGCAACCCGCCCCCCCCCGGGGCACCCCCGCTCCGCCCCCCGGCCCCGCGCCCAACAAAGGGGCCCCCCCCCCCCGCCCCGCTCCCGCGTCGGGCTGCCCGCTTCGCCAGCAGCGCCCGCCCCGCCCAACACACCCATACGTAAAAAAGCCGAGCCTGTCCGCCAGCGCCGACGCCAGAGAACGCACAAGGCAATACTCTGCTGCGTCGACGAAAACATTGTCTGCTACTGACGCTCCTTGCCGTTTACGATTTCCCAAAGCGTTGTAGGACACTGATTTAAATGAATTTCTCTGACAAAATCCCCCGATACGGGTAACGTCCAATTAATACTTTCGTAGCTTTTGAGCTTCGTTTCCATTACATCACTTCTCGCAATTCCAATCTTGAATTCCATAAGGAGATTAATAAACAAATTGCAGAGTCTCATCTCTCTGGCACATGCATAGTACTCTCTGCTGGCCATTCTCACTAAAATACAGCCCAATCGAAAAGCGATACAACTGGTTTAATGGTCCTCTCTATGCCCATCTATTACTTCAGCTCTTTTTACATTAAATACTTACCTCAAAAATGAACATAATTGTCGGGCCTCAAATCCGAAGCCCGTTCGTATCGCCCGATTCGTCAAGACTCAGCTATATTTTCATCACCTTCCCGGTAAATACGAAACTAACCATCTATAAAAGAATGCCCTATCTAAATTCACATATCCAGCTGTCCACCAAACCGGCACCAAAAACTCGGCTCGTACCGGTCATCACTTATACAGAATACCGCTTCTCGATCCTTCCGCATCACTCACAATGCAACCCAACATCACAGTCCATTTTATTCCCCCCACCGCACCCACTAACTCCAATCGCACCACCAAACAACCCCACCGCCGTCCCACCCCACCACCGCCTCTTACATCACTGCACCAACAAACACCCTCACCCACCCGCCTCCCCGTATTACCCCAACAATCCCATCACCCCCATCACACCATGCACTACTCACACCGGGGCACCACCAACCCACCACGCCACCAACGCCAACACGCGCACCTGTGAACACGCAATACACCACATCCAGCACCTCTGCACCGCCAGCATCCCCATCCCCAGCATAAACCACCAGCTCACTCTGTCCATCCCCCACCCCGGCCCATCCTCGTGCCCATGCTCCACCCCTAGCGCCCCCGGCCACGCGACCCCGCGGCAACGTTTTCCGCTCGTCCGCGTCCGCCCCGAAACTTCTGCAACTCATGAATTATTAGTGGCCGTCCTTCTGTGCAGCCTGACTGGGCCCGGGGCAGGGTCCCGGCCCGGGGGGGGCGGGCGTCAGAGGTACAAATTATCGGCTTTTCATATGCACACGCATGAGCCGAAAGTGACTCCAAGGGCAACGGCAGACAACGCAGCTCCGCAACACAGGATTTCAAATTTCGAAAACTGCAGAGCAATAAACGTTGATTTCGTATTCGGTGAAAGTGGACCGATCGTGCCTAATGTCTCTGCAGCTATTCAGAAGCAACGCCGCACTCCTATGGTCGAATTCAGCCCAGTGTCTTGAGAGACGCCTGGCGACCGGCTGCTCTGGTCGGCTGTTCTTCTCCGATCAACACAAGTGCGAATGTCGGAACAGTAATTCTTACAAGGGGACCACGTCATCGCCGCCTCTTCCTAAGTTCGCTCATTCCGTGCCACCTTATCCCTAGCTTACACACAATCTACAACTCACATGCATTACATTTGTCAGGTTAGATCAGTCTGAAACAGTATGTCCGGCTTGGACGGGCGATCGCTGGATGGAGTACCTGCGTATGGAGGAATTTTTCTTAAAAAAAAAACTCGTATTGTGGACCACTGCCATAACCACACAACACGTGAGATACCCTTTTATAGCTCTGGCTTATCATATACAGAAACAACACTCGTTGAATTAAGATGAAGTTCGTGGAATCCTATGAAAAAAAACTGAATTTCAAAATGTTCGAATTTGAATCAAAATAATTGAAAAAAACGGCGCGAAGTCTAAGAGTTTCATCAAAAGAATGTTGTATGACCAAAATATTGGCCGCTTAACGATATTACGACAATGAAGCAAGAACAAGAACGAAGTTAGTTAATTACTTCAAAAGTAGGGTCCACCATATTGTGTACAATGAAGGTACATCTCTCTGTTGGTGTACCTACAACGAAAGTCACATAGATCCAGAATCCAATTTACTTACCCCCTTACTTTCAATTATGAATTTTGACGTTCCGGCTTACCACTATATTTTCACCGACAATCATCGATTTGCTAATAACATCCTATCTAGCCTTCTTAAATGCACCGAATTAACGAACGCGTATGAATGAGTTGATCCCTGCTCTATCAAACATCACGTTGTACCAATGATGGCCATTCGAGGTTCTCTAAGTGGCCTTAATGCCAACCCCCAGCCGCGCGATCCCGCAACGCCAGCAGCACTCGAACCAGCAAAACCCGCCCTTCCCCGAAGAACTCCCGCTTGCTGGAAAACGCACGCGCCGGCGCTCGCGCGTGCGCCAGCCGTTCCCCCGCCAGCCGCCTCTCTCTCTACCGCACTTCCTTCAACGTACGCCGTTCCGCGTATCGCTCTTGCCCACCCACTTCCCTTACCTGCTTTTCCCCTATCACCCTTTCCTCGCCTGTTTGTACCTAACCCCTAATCCATATCCCCGCCTCGACCTTCGCAGTGCTCGCCACCAACCCAATAACCCATTTCACCTCAACCCGAAGTGAATAACAATGGATACAGTGTCCTAACATATAAACTCTAACTTCTGCCGTCTGAAGAAAATGTTAAAAAACACTATTTAAACACCTTAATTTCAAGAAATTTTCTCGCTATATCGCTCAATAAAATTCGTACAAACCAATTCCGTTCATATTTCTTTGTCCAATGGTTCGTTGAAATATAGAAACTCTTGCCTTCGAGTGAACATTCTCTACGTTAGCATTGCACATAATACGATTTTGTCACTCCCCGAATCAGCGGCAAAAATCTCCTCCCCAGGAACAGTTGCTCTTATTCATTACACCTGGACAGTGGTCTCGCCCGATTAATGAAGTCACCACATCTCGCTCAATGAACAAAAGTGGCGCGACTTCTCGTTTAGACACTCTCTTGCCACCTCATACCCGCCATCTCCACCACACACACACAACACACACACGAGCTCCGTCATGCCGTAATGATCGCGAGCGAGAGATGCATTGCCGCCGCTCGCGCACGAACACGTCAAAGGCGCGGGCCGGTATTGCGGACGGCGCGTGCCACGTCGCGGAAGCTGCGACGCACCAGGCGCGCGAGGGGGCAGGCAATGAGAAGGGAAGGCCCCGAGCGACAAGACAGTCAATTGCGCCTTCGTTCTGTTCATTCATTAGCCGCGAGCTCGCTTGTACGCCTCGCGTCGACGCAGACCCGCTCCCCCCCCCACGCACACCACAGCTCGTTGGCATCGCTTACGTGTTCCATGCTTTCGGCGCGTCACTTCACGAGCATCTATTCCATTAAGTGTAGTGGATTTTTTTCCTCGGGACGCGTGAAAATTGGCGTGCTCTGGACGGCTTCATCCTCCTGCCCTCGAAAGATTCCTGGCCCGAACTACGTTCGCTACCAGGGTATCCCCACCAGCGTAAACGCCCCACCGGACAACCTCTTAGCCTCTCCGACCCTCTTCCGCATGCTAGGTGTACATTTGGTAAGTGTGTGATGACGCATTGAGAACGGACAAGCACACGAGAAACGAAAAAATGCGCGCGAGCGTCTGAGCCCGTTTCGCTTAGGTACATGCTTCCGGCATTCGTCTATGCTGTGATCGAGACAACACGGACAACCACAGTTACGAGCAGAGCACGCCGGCCGCTGGAATTTCTCCTCCCAGGAGCGACTGAAAAAATCCACCTTGCTGATAATAGTGATCGATCACTGATGCTCTGAACACCTTCCCAGGCCACATGGACTCTGTCCTCTCCGACCGAAAGGTGCACTGATGGCAACACGGCAGCTTTTGCCCCTCTCGAACGATAAAGCAAAGACTATTTCTGACCCAATTAAATTTGATATAATTCAATATTGCTGAATTATACCTTGTAACACATACTTACAAGATTTTTTAAGTAAATTACTTTCATGGTTGGGCACCAAATTTCTGAGTTGCAAAACTATTTATACTTTGAAAAATGTATTTCAGTAGAAAAATTAAATAAAAACAACTCTTCAAATGTATTATAATAATTATCAGTTAAATTAATTAAAAGTTTACTAATTTAAAAAGTTTTAAAATTTAGTAAAAGGATCTCTTTCTTTCCC